TAAATTCCATGGTGGAATTACACCAAGAGTATAATGAGGTTAGGAGGAGAGGGAACATTTATATCTGCCATGGTGAAGAAAGACCTCAGCAATCTTCAAGGACAACAAAATAATAAAGAAAGGCTATAGCCAACGTACAACAACTTGTCTTAATGAAGAGAGCAGCTTGAATATGTCCCGCTATTTCAGAGCCTCATACAAAGGGGATATTACAATGGATTGTAAACCAAGCACTTACAGACCAGTTGTTCAAGTCTCAGCTTTGGTATACAAAATATAGATCACTGACTTAGGGTTTCATTGATGTGAAGACATATCATGACCAAGGCAACTTTTATATAAGAAAAACATTTAATTTGGGCTGGCTGAAAACAGTTTCAGAGCTTTAGTCTATTATCACTATAACAGGAAGCATGCTAGCATCCAGACAGATATAGTGCTGGAGGAGCTGAGAGTTCTACATCTTGATCCAAAAGAAGCCAGGAAACTGTATTCTGCAGGTAGCCAGGAGAAGACAAGATTCCATACTGGGCAGAGCCTGAGAATAGAAGGCCTCAAAGCCCACCTACACAGTGATGTACTTTCTCCAACAAGGCCACATTTCCTCCAGTAAGGCTTAATTGTGTCACTCCCTATGGTCAAGGATTCAAACATATGAATCTACGGGGGCCAAACCTATTCAAACCACCATGATCACCCATGGCAAGAATGCTTTATTTCAACTTAGAAGTGACTCTCAGATATAAATGTAGTAAAAATTGGAAAGTGCCTAAAAACACTACAAGGGGCAGGAAGTTTTACTAAACATGGGTGCAGAAGGTTGACCAAGAAAGTGGATACCCAGTAGCTGTGGAATCTTCCTGGTAGCATGATTGCAAGATCAGACCTAGAGGGGGTAAAAACCTTTACACTAGCCTTAAACACAATCACTAACATCTCGGGAAACTAAAATTTAATATTCCACATAAAATCAAGATTAACCCAAAAATTATAATTTAAAAATCTTTTAAAGACAAGACCTAACTGTATAACTTGGCCTGATCTCAGATAAGAGAATCTCTGTGGAAATATGACAAGCAAGATAGGATTGGAAGTCTGAAAATCAGCCAGGTCCACCAAGCTAATAGAGTCCTGAGGTATCTGGGTTTATTTAGATAGTTGTATAGATTTACCCACAGAGTGTTAAAATTCACTGCTACCCAAGTATGGAGTCTGCAATCCATTGATAAGAAGAGAGACTGGGCAGATGGAGAGACAAAGTACTAAGGGGCAGAGGACACGGAGAAAGTCTCTCTGACAAGAACAACCCCAGGGAATGGCCTATAGATCAAGACCCATCTGGGAGAAGCAACCATTACAAATAACAAATAAAATCCTAATAAAAGACCCATGTTTCAGGCATAAGCTCCTGCCCAGAAAAGAAAATGTAAAGTCTTAAAATGTTCAGCTAAGACAGAGTATCTGAATATTCAGGTATCTGAATAGCCAAGCCCTCATAAGAACTTGTGAGTATGTGACATTTGGAAGTCTAGGGAGCCTTCAGAGGGAATATAAATGCTAAGACCCTAAGAGTTGGGAAACTGTTGGTGGGTTGTTGGTTGGTTGTTGTTGGTTGTGATTTGTTAGGTAGTCGTGTGTCACCAGAAAAGGGTGACAGTTATTTGCAAGAAGCTAAACATTGTTGAAGGCACACCACCTTTATGAAGGGGGCTTAAGCTAGGTACTTCCTTCTAGTTAAGGCTACCACTGGTTCTGAAAGTTACCATTAAAGCTACCATTAGTTTGCTCTCTGATATGACCAAACTAATGATAGCTTTAATGGTAACTTTCAGGTCTTTTTAATAATTGGCTTAAAAAGTAGATCCCAATGTAACCAGACATTTGGCTACCTTGTGGGTTCTTTTTTCTTCCACCCTTTCAACCTCCTCACACTAGATGGGAGAGAAAAAATAGAGGTGAAAGGGGTATAGTTATCATTAGACTGCTTCTTGCTGATTGGGATATTGAGTTCCTTGGGGCAAGTTTAATCTTGCCATCAGGATATCTAATTTCTTCTTGTTGTTTCTTCTTTACACATGATTACTTAACAAACCAAGAGCAACCAACCAACAACCCACGAACAGCTCGCCAACTCTCAGGGCCCTAGCATTTATATACCCTCTGAAGAGTTTCCAGAATTACAAATGTTACACATTTGCAGTAACTATTTGTACCTGTCAAAATCAAGCCCCTGATAGAGCCTGGGGCAAATCATAGTCAGCTGCTGTGGACAATATGAAACAGCCCTACATCCCACACCTGGGTTTAAAATGAAAACACATTCATATAATATTTCTGTGTTTTTAAAGAGGCCAAAATTCTCATTACAACCTACATATAATCAGTGACTATGAGTGGCATTTTGACCTGGTCAGAAGTATTTTATGCAGTTACTAATAAGAAAAAACTTATTTATAAAGCAGAGAAGACATGGAGATGGTGACTGACCCTATAGCATCCATAGCATGCACTATGGATGGCCTCTTGAGTAAAGGGACACTGCAATAGAATCTTAGTTGATAGGCTTTATTCAAACTTTCACAAACACAGGTAGGACCTTGAGTTCAAGAAGAGGATAGTGGGGCACATAGGGGAGGAGATTTCAGACACTATATGGAAAGTCAGGGACCCTGAATGCTCATCTCTAAGGTCAAAAGTAAAACTAATGGCAAGAAAAGGATGAAAATGACCCTCTACTAACACATTTGGGAAACAGTCCAAAGGATGTGTTCATCACACCTTCCTGCCTAGGCAACGTCTCCTGATGACTCCTTAATTTCCACTAGGATGTGCCTCCCCTAAAATGTACTATGCATTCACCAATCACTTAAATCATGCATATTAATTTGTACTCAGATTTGTATGAGAGGTCTTTAAAAGCAGTTACTCAAGTTAATAAAAAGTCTCTGACATGAGCTATCTGACATATCTTGTTCATATGGTTCAGTGCCCTGCACAACAATGTTTGGCAGTCTTTGCTATGCACATAAAATACAATATTGCAGATTCTTCTATATACAAATATGATGGTGCAGATATCTGTCATCAGATTAAATACTTTGAATTACACTCCTAGTAATGATGATTCTAGGTTAAGTCTCTTATAGACATAGTCATCCACAATTCATCCTTTGGATATACAAAGGATGAATTCTCAAATTCTCCTAGGGTATATAAAATGGTCAGCTAGCTATGAAATGAAGGTAAATACCACTGGACAAAGGAGAACCAAACACGTCTTTAGCACCAATAAAATGGTACTGTCTCCACCTTATGTGCTCCCATGCAACTCATGACGAAAATACCAGTTACCTTTTATTACAATTTGGTTGTTGTTGTTGGTGGTGGTGGTGGTGGTGGTGGTACTGGTGTGTGTGTGTGTGTGTGTGTGTGTGTGTGTGTGTGTGTGTTGTTTGAAAAAGAAAAACCCTTCAGATCAGTGGTCATGATGATTTTTTTTTTTGCTTAGATGGTTATTAAGAAAAAAAATAAGATTTTGTTTCCATGTATTTTTAAATTAAGTTTTTTCCAGTATAATTTTAATTATGAAGGTTATAGTTGTTGTATATTGGGATTATTTAAATTTTCATTTAAGACATATCATCTTTTAAATGTATCTAATGAATTCTATACACTACACCAGCCTGAAAACTACTTTAAACCACTGAAAATAAGAGAGCAAGTCCACCCTTAACAATAAAAAGTCCTGCATTTTTCTCCTTTTCTCCTTGAACTCACATTTCTATTCTACTTCACCCACAGAATTTTTAAAAATACTATATGAGTTAATGATTGAAAGGCTTTTATGAATCTCCGTATTATGCTTTTTATAACAAAGCATGCATAAAATGATGTTTTTAAAAACGTTCTGGGACTATAGGGCTTAAAAGTGTTCGATTTCCTTTCAGTTTGAGCTATCATTATTAATGAACATGATTGATCTAAAGAACAATAACAATTATTTATAAGAATGTTAATATTGTTAACATGAAAAAAAAAGCAATGTTATTGGAAATGTTTTCTAGTGGAATAGGGTTGGCGGATGCCTTCAGTGAGTCCATTCATCTATGGATGAGTATTACCACTGTTGGTGATAAACGCTGGCATGGCATCAGCTTAGATCATTGTTATTTTATGATGTGAACAATAAGAAATCTTGTCTATATGTGTTTACGTGAAATGAAGGTAGCTTATCAAAAGATATTGTCATTTGTCATCTTATAGCTGGATTAGGTCTCCTTCAAGTTTGCTGAAAGTCAAGAAGTAAAAAGTACTCAGGTTACACAAAGATGTGTTTCTTGTTTCTTATCCTCTCTTGTACCTCCAGACCGGCATTTTCACAGTTCTCTGTGGAGGCATGATGGTGTCACATCCTAGAAAGCTCACCAGAGCAGACCAGGCTGGTACCAGCTCTGCCTATCTCTATCAAGCAGAAGAGTGACAGTGAAACATGAGATGGGAAATTGCTAAGACAAAGTTATCATGGATCAAATCAGATGTAGAAATAGGCTTGTGTCTCAGAGCTGCTGCAGGTGATTTCAGATTGCCATCAGCAAGGTGTCCTGCTAAGGCTGGGGAGAAAAAGGAAACCCACTCCAGCTGGTAGGACTGACTGCATTTCCCAGAGAACATACTGTTATCTGTGCTTCACTGCAAGGTTTTGTTTCATGTCCCTCTCTCATATTAGCTTGGGTCATTTCTCTTCTTGCCTAGCTGCATCCTTTTGCTCACTCATCTTAGTATCACTGACTTCATTCATTCACTCCACAGATAAAAATCTATTAAGCCCCCATTTTGCCCCCATCATGAAATATCCTACTTTGCTCACACCAAACAAGCCAACAACGCAAGATAAAAGCTATGCAACACTTAAACACTATAAACCAACAAGGTGATCCAGCCTTTAGGAAACCACAGAAGGCGACTTTTGTTCCTGCTGCATTACAGTCACTATTTCTTACCTCAACAAGTGGGGAGGGATCTTCAGAACAGTGTCCAGGCCACCTAGGGTTTCTGTAAAAGAAAATTGAGGAATTACAAGTAGATATTCAAAGACTATGATATCTAAATATTAAAATCTCTATACTCTCTGAAGTCACCAGTGGCTTTTGTTCCCCCTTGGAAAATAGAAACTACCTACTTCTCAATCATCTTTACTTTAAAATTCGTTCCCTACAGTGGGTCTCACTTCATTATTGGGAAAGAGGTGATTAAAAACTAGGCCATATTTTCCTGTTAGTGGCAAGGAATAAATACCTAAATCCCTAACCTAAGCCAGAATGCCAATTCATTGTACCTACCATAGGCCAACATGTCACATTCTCCCACCAAAGAAACAAGAGCTTGGTTGTTAGGTTGAAGCATTTTAATCTCTTAGTAAACAAACTCATACTTGTGAAGACTTTCAAGTTCACAGGCACCTTAGAGGACACGTGGTGATTTATTCAGCAGTTCTTCTATTATTAAAGCACTTTTGCCTGTTCTGGGTTTTCTCTTAATATTATGAGAAATACTGCAGTTACATTTTTTTTTATAGAGTGTGTTTGCTATGTAATCAGGACACAGTGATTTATTGGGTGTATTTCCATTCAAGTAGCTTGAACAAGAATTGTGTTTCTGTCTTTAAAACAAATCCATTTCTTCTCCTGTCATACCTGTTCTCGATTTTGTCTTGTAGAGACTTCCATGTTAACCACACATGTTTGTGACATGGTAGATTGTACTGTTTATTTAATTATATTACAAGTAAGCTCATCCTCAAATCTCATAATCAAGCCTGATACTCAAAACATTGCCACGGTTTGTGGATAAATCACACTACTACCGACTCTAATTGTACAGACAATAAAAAGCTAATTATTATGTCCCCTCTAAAACTGTTGTACTTTAATAATTACAACTTGTCTCCAGGTGATCAGCTTCACCATTCAGAGTCAACAAGCTCTGTCCATTTGAATTACTTCCCTTGGGAGAGGACAGACAAACCCCTCCGCCCCACTAAGATCAGAGAGAACAAGAAACCAAATATGTTCCTTATAGTCAGTACTAATAGGACCCAGCAGGACAGAATCAGAACTACTGTAGCCAATGGAGTGAAGATCCTAGATTTGAGAAAGGTGACTCATCAGTGAAATGGAAAAGTCGAGCTGAGTAGAGTCAATGATGCCTCAGAGATGAGGCCCAGCAGGAACAGAGGAGGACTGAGGTCAGAGCTAAGGCTGGGACAGGATGACAAGAAAATGAAGACATGAAATGCAGGTTCTGGGGGTAGCTCAAAGGGTCATACAGGTTAGCACAGCCCAGCAATTAGTGTGACAGGGAGCAGTGCTGAGGGCAAGTCAGTGCCGCTTGCCAAGGAGAAATGACACCAGACAAGCAAGCATTGTGTTCTCTCCAGAGGCAGGGATGTATCTTCAGTTCACTGCCTGATCTACAAAAGCTGAGTGAGTCAGAAGAGGAAAGAGATCAGGGAAATCACTCTGTGAGAGAGTGCTTGCCCAGCATGAAAGATTCTGGGTTCAATCCTCAGCACCACTTTTAACAAAAGGGTAGCGAGGGGAGGGGGCAGCCAGCCACACAGTTGCCATGAGCAGAGACCCCTACTCCAGGTAAGCAGAACAAGGGTGGAATTCAAGTCAATTGCTGAAAGAACAAAGAATCCAGATCCTGAAATATGCCCAACAGTGTCTTCCAAGTGCTGCTCTGGAAACTAGGACAGAGTAGCACTGCAGGAAGGAGGGCCACAGAAACACCAACAAGAGAGCAGAGAGAACCATTCTCTCTGACTCCATACTATTTTGTGGGATGGAACAAGTCACCCAGATCCAAGCTTCTGTCCCCTCATCTCCATAGTTCATTTTTGTTCCTCTCTCTCTCTCTCTCTCTCTCTCTCTCTCTCTCTTCTCTCTTCTCTCTTCTCTCTTCTCTCTTCTCTCTTCTCT